ACTATATTTTATGACGATATATGACAAACTAAATTTCACGGGGGTGAAGCCGTGGGCAAAAGCTAGTATAATATAAACAGGACACAAAACACCTAAAGTATATACCTAGGTATATCAATTAAAACAGAATGTCTAGAAGAGTAGTTAGCCAATAGGAATAAAATATAAACAGGACACCTAATACATATCACTGCACAACAGCATTTCTGATGATTGGATTATGTTACATGATATTAGTCCAATTTTTAATGACGATTTCAAATCTGTGATTGAAATGTCTGTATCAGCTCTGGTTAAAAAAATATGACACTTGGGTCTTTTTGTAAAAAAACACTCTTTTTTTTAGAGATGATCCTATTTTATGAAGTTGTTAAGTTGAAAAACCTTTCTTTTATTTGACTTCCTTGCTGATGCTGAAGGCAGACAGCTCTTCTGAATGATTCAACAGCAGTCAGCCATCATGTGTGCATTCCAGTGGCCCTGATAGCGTCCCTCTATCGTACGAAGGCCCTGGTGGATTTGCTCGCCATGTTCTTCACTTAGATCCTTAAGAGTTGTGATAAAATTGTTCAGGTGATTGCGAAGAGAGTGTAATTCGATGTTTATATTACATCCAACCAAAAAAACATGTTTGTAAGTGACTCATACGTTGTTCGATGTGTAAGAATAGTAAGATTTTTTCGGATTTTCCAAAAAATAAATTAAACGCCAAAATAACTCATTCCATGTCTTTTCGGAAGACTTGAAAATCCTAAATCTCTAAAACGATCGTTTAAACCATCTTGGCTACATGGTTTTGAAAATTTCGGGTCACATTCAAAGTCTCTACCACACTGACAGTTTTCACCTCAAAATCCTCATGTGAAGTATCAACATGAGGTTCAGGTGACTTCTTAGGGTTGAAAAGACGTCTACATGCCAAACGTATGCAAGGAATTACTACGGCCCGTGTGCGGTGTGAGTGATCCTAAATAATCGTCATAACTTTGGAACGGGACGTGCAAGGAATTTCTGAATTTGTTAATAGTTTTAACATATTCTTAACAATTTTTCTATACTATAAAAAGAAGTGGAAAGGCTTTATTTTCTGAAATAAACATGTTGACGTTTTCTTAAAGCGTGCGGTATGAGTGCTCCTATTTATTGGCCATAACATTTTTATCTTAGGTTTAACAAATTTTTAAACTTCATCGCAATGTTTTAACATATTTTAAGTAAAACTTCCTCGATTTTTGTTAAGATTGAAGCAAGGATCACTCAATCCACATGCACATAATTTAAAATTGGTGTCATTTAACGCATTTCAAACAAGCTCATACAAGAATGAAAAGGCCACAATAATAATGATATTCACAAAATGTGGTAAATTATTTTTGTTGCATAATACATAATCGTTAATCGTAATCATCTTAACGTGACACAAAAATGGAACACTGTCACAATTATTGCAAAAACAAAAAAAAAGTATCACATAAACAACTAATTTGTTTGTAAAAATATTTTGATAGAAATAATTATTGCTTAAACATTAATCCGTTTAGATTCAGACAAAATAATGCGGCTTTCTGGCCGTGATTCCGTATTCTTGCAGTGCCGGTGCCAGATCTTCCATAGTCATAACGTACTTCTTTTCTTTGGGGCCTTTCTGGTTCTTGGAGCTCTGTGTTATCTGACTGGACGTCCTCATTTTGCAGTGCTGTAGAGCATCGTTTGCAACGTCCGACAAGAATTTCTGAGATGCAAGAGCTATTAACCGGATCAATCTGGAAAACAATTGCATTTTATTAAAACTAAAATTATAATCTCAGCATTGGAAATGTACTTGATAACTACTTATAAACACACCCAATATGTATCTGTTACGCTAATTTTAACTTCAACACAGATAACTTTTCCTCTTGAATATTAGGTATATTCAAGCCCTACAGCACACTTGGGCCATAAAATCATTAATAGAAGAAAGCTCACCAACATATACCTAGCTCTAAATTGTGGAATTATGCTAACAAAGGATATTAATGGCATCTACATATGAATTAAAAATACCACGTTACCTGGGGTCCTGTGACTCGAAGCCCGACATATTAAGGTAGTGTGCAACCACGGAGTCTGGTATGGACGGGTTATAGTTGTAATTCTCAAGCTGAAGAAGAAAATCGCTCAGTACGTGACCAACACCAATATCATCCTCCATTGCGACAGATGTCGAAGCCAGGCGGCTCATCTGCATACCGCTGTAAATAAATCACAATTCAAACAATATTCGTACAGCAAATCATACAAGAAAAGTCACTCTCACGCACAGGTAAATAAAAATGTAGAAATCACTGCACTTTTTTTGTTGACCGCTTTGACTTGCTTGACGTTAAGCTTGACGTCATTTGCAGTTTGACAACAAATTTTGCAGTTGGCAGAACTGAAAGCGTTTTGTATCACCAAAATTGTATGAAAAATATCAAACATTAATTTTATTTCACCTAATCATTAGTATCTAAAGTTAGTTTACTTTATAACTCTCCGAAAAATATAAAAGTAAAGATTTAAATTAAAAAAATATAGGGTAAACCAGAGAGTGATTGCCCACTGGTAGTGATTGCCCGCTTTAAGAATAATATTGTCAGGTGCTGACTTTGAATCACTCTAGTTAGATTTGAATTTACTAAGTAGATGGCTCCGAGATCAATGTACAGTAGATTTATANAATGGTTGATAATTAAAATACTTTCTTTAATTTTTCATCTCATTGGTTTTGAAATCTTTAAGTGGGCAATAGCTATACGGTTTACCCTACTATTTCACATCGGATATAAAAAAGGAAAATTGTTTATGGCTGTCCATATCGATTTTTGAGAGCATAAACAACACGCAAATTGCCCACGTCATTGCAATGTTACTAGTAATTTGCATGTACACTATTTATGGGAAATTTAAATTTTAGTAAAAAGTGATAATGTTTATTCATCGAGCTAATGTCTACAACATTTTAGCGAGTTTTAAGAATATTAAGTTGTTTGACTTTATCGCGGTACGCAAGATTTATTAAGCCGAATGCATTCTGAAATACAATGGTTAGGCAAAAAAATCCCTTCCATTTTTAATTTTATAATAAAAAAATTTACTTTAAAATAAATCACGTTTCATACATTCAATTTTTAACGATAAATATGAACATTGACTTAAATCTGTAGGGAAATTCTATTTTACAACTATGAGAACACTGGCCTCGTGGTACTTTAGCCGTTATGTTGGCAACATCTGCCCCTTCCTTCCTTCTTTTGCGCCGCTCCTCCGGGCAGAACTGCGAGAGAACGTGATCGATCGAATTTCAAAAAAGGCACACACCTTCCCCTTGTGCTCCCGAGATCACGAAATTACTCTAAAATCTCCTGATTATAAAATTCAGGAGTTAGTGTTTCGTGATTTTCCATTCCGTGTGTGACCCGGTAGATTCCACCTTACGCCCGCGAGGCAATTACTCAGTGAAGAGCCCACCTAATTGAACAAAATGTCGAACCTCGCCGATCCGGTCGCGTTCGCGAAGGACTTCATCGCCGGCGGTGTGTCCGCCGCCGTGTCCAAGACCGCGGTGGCGCCCATCGAGCGCGTCAAGCTGCTGCTGCAGGTCCAGCACGTCAGCAAGCAGATCACCGAAGACCAGCGCTACAAAGGTATCGTCGACGCCTTCGTCCGCATTCCCAAAGAGCAGGGCCTGCTCTCGTTCTGGCGTGGTAACCTCGCCAACGTCATCAGGTACTTCCCCACCCAGGCGTTGAACTTCGCCTTCAAAGACAAGTACAAGCAGGTGTTCCTCGGTGGCGTAGACAAGAAGACGCAGTTCTGGCGCTACTTCGCGGGTAACCTGGCCTCCGGCGGTGCCGCGGGAGCCACATCCCTGTGCTTCGTGTACCCGCTCGACTTCGCCCGTACGCGTCTCGCCGCCGACGTCGGCAAAGGAGACGGCCAGCGCGAGTTCTCCGGCCTCGGAAACTGCCTGTCCAAGATCTTCAAGTCCGACGGTCTCGTCGGTCTCTACAGAGGCTTCGGCGTGTCGGTGCAGGGTATCATCATCTACCGTGCGGCGTACTTCGGATTCTACGACACGGCGCGCGGCATGTTGCCCGACCCCAAGAACACTCCTCTGGTCATCAGCTGGGCCATCGCACAGACCGTCACCACAGTCGCCGGCATCATCTCGTATCCGTTCGACACGGTCCGTAGGCGCATGATGATGCAGTCTGGCCGTGCTAAGGCCGACATGCTGTACAAGAACACAATCCACTGCTGGGCGACCATCGCCAAGACCGAGGGTGGATCCGCCTTCTTCAAGGGAGCCTTCTCCAACGTCCTCAGAGGCACTGGCGGTGCCTTCGTGCTTGTCCTATACGACGAAATCAAGAAGGTCCTCTAAATTTAATGTAAGAAACGTTACCATAAATTCAATTGTGATTCCGAATCACCTCAATAGCCACTCCCTTGAAATCATGTATTATTAGAAACGAAACAATCGAAACTAGTAACTTATTTTTAGTTAAATAAAGCGTTATACATTGATTCCAATATGTATTGTTTTATTAAAAAATTGTTAAGTTGCATAACTCACCTAGCCTGAGTGTGAAAAATGCAGTGATAGTTTGACAGCAGTTAAGAATTCATTCAAATTGTGTTTAAATTCGAATTTGGAATCAAGAAATGGTTTTTTTCAGTGATCATGTAACTGGCCAGTGACTGTTATGTAATGCCCTCATTCTGTATGGGCCAAGGTTAGCTTGTGCTAAGTGTTGAAATTGGATTGGATCAATTTATATGAAGTCTTTTCTGAACTCTATTCATTGCTGTGGTGAAAATCTGTGGTTTTCTCTTTGTTCGCACGCAGGCTATGTTAGTCATTCAATAGATAACCTATGTGACACTGATGGGAGTGAGACCTTGTACTATGAATACTGTGTACTCTAACAGCCTGTATGTATTGAAGCTCATGTTAATGCTGTGAATTTCTTTAGTCATGTGAAAAGGTTATGTAACAGAGTGTTGTGCTATGCAGTGTGTTGTGGTGACATGAACTTGATTTCAATTCACATTAACAGTGGTTCACAGTGTAGTGAAAATACCTTTTTCGAAAATAACTCTGTAGTGTATCCGTAGGGTGTATTGTGGGTGGGCTGTAAGCTCGGTGAACTTTGTTCGCTCGGTGTGAGTTTTTCTTAATGAAAAAGTCATACGTAACGAGTAATTATAATATAGAAATGTTAAAAATAACATGCTGTTTTCCTTTTTAAATGACATGCTTGGTTCTCAATCCCCCATCATCTGTGCCTTTATTCATTGATTCTAACTTATGTAAAAAACATAATTCTTTTGTTATATCAATGAATAGGGTTTCATTCATGTTATGTAACAAAATTGTGAAAATAATTTTCATCCATTTCATATTAATTTTCCTATAGTTTGACTAACATGAAACATTTGATTGTTGATTTTATTCTCATTTTTTGTTACATAACTAACAGTGACGTCACAAATCTCATTATAAACCTGAAAATATTTAGCAAGTTGTCACAGTCAATTACATAATCTATATTTCTTGTAGACATATTCAATAGAGTAATTTTGACTGTGACAGTTTGATTATGTAGGATCTTGGTCATCTAACGTCTACGGGAAATTCAAGATTTCGGAAAATCCCCCGTGACGTCGACTGTGACGCAACTGCAGCGGCGTGACGTCACGACTCACGATGTGGTAGGTATTACTTGTGATGGTTTGTATGAATTAACTAGATTACCTACCTACCTACTTACTTACTACTATTACTGAATGCTGTCGTCAGAAACTGAGTGAGCTCTAGTTCTATCTATCACGATTTTTACGGTGAAGGCCATGTTTTTGATGATTGATTTACACTGGCCCTCTCATTAATAGGTAACGGATTTAACACTTAAGGACTCGCTAATGGGTCTAACGGACCCAGTTCTTCAATATTTGTGTAATAACTTTTAAAGTTTGACGTTTGCGATGTTGTCGCTCTTAGTACCTTTCCACGACATTGTAGCACAGCCAATAGCGGTCATAATCGTCAAATAGCCCACTGCATGTGATTGCTACAAACGAAAAATGTGTTTTTGAGTCCACTGGACCCGGTAAACAAAGTTAATTTTTTAAGGTTCTATACTAATTGTTCATTAATTGTTTATTGGTATAAGTAGGCAAATCATAGTAGTTTACTAAGATAAACAAGGTATTTTTTAAAATATTTAATTACAAAAAAATTCAAAAATAACCTCATTTTGCAAAAAAAACCTTCAATTTTTTTTAATAAGTTGTTATTTTAGAAAAACGCAATAAATATGACTACATATTTGGTTTATTATTTTGTCTTTGTTTATATCATATTATCCTTCCAATAAAGTAGTTTTCACTTTTATTAAGAGTTTTTGAAAAATACATAGGATTTTATATACTGGGTCCAGCGCACCCGGTAGCGAGTATGAATGTTACAAATTAAGGCGCGAGTCCTCAAGTGTTAAATAAAAAAAAGCTAATGATTTTCCTTATTCTTCCCGGACCCCGGTAATAGCAGGGGATGCCAAACATAGCGAAAACTAACGTCAATCGCTGACACACCAATCGATATGGGTCATCAAACAAAGTTAATAAGAAGTATTGGAAGAGCGAGTTATGGTTGTATTTACTGGCCAGGCCTGCTGTAACAGTAGTTCCAAGAATTTTTTGTTACGTAGCAGCACCCTGCACCACCTACAGCATATCTAAGGTCTCTAATTTCTTTTTAGTATCAGCCAGTTTGAAGTTGACCAAAGTTAATTGATACTTGAATGATCCAGTAACATGCAGACAGTTTATCAGACAAATGACGCTATGTTAAATTCAACGCGACTGCTACACGTGGCTACACGCTGATATAATTCTTGTCTCGTCACAGTAGAGGCCAGAAATGCACGCGTATGAGTGGTCACCCGGGTTACTGACATTAAGATGGATGCGTCATCATCAGTCGCTATTAGAGAAAGATTCAATACGTTTCCGGAACTCCAAAATGATGTCACACTAATGAAGCTAATTTTTAATTAATTACCCATTACTTACATAACTAATAGTTATTTAGAATAACTAGATTAGGTCACTATATTGTTTTTTCGATAAGTAGGTACTAGGTAGGCCACAAATGAGACTGGGGGGGAGGAGTGTTCAGCAGTAGGTAGGTAGACGTCCTGTGGCTGAAATGATGATGATGATGATTATTGTTACAATCTAAAATCAGATTTAATACATTAGGTAGGTAGGTATTATATTTTTTCAGATCCCAGATTTTATTTGTTCAAGCTTCGCTTTGTTCCATGACATGGTCAATCGAGTTTTTTCGCCTAAGTAAAAATCTTTGCCAAAGTTGTCCCACCCAACCCAATATGGCAGATGTTTCCATGGTCATAGAGCAGTAACCATAGAATGTGAACAAAAAATGGTTTTCTTGGTACCTGAGTGAGCATACTGTCAAAAGAAATGGTCGAACGTGGCATTGGGCTCGTTGCCCCGTACTAACAATGCTTTAGGTAGGTAAGTACCTACTTTTTTTAACGCTTTTAGCGATCTAACGGACCTTTTAACGGCCTACTTAAGTACGTCGTCGTCCTAGCCCAGTTTTCTTTGCTTCTTAACTTTTGCTCCAAACTAAATATCTAAATTAGGTAGTTTGCCAAATTAGAGTAACTACTTAAGTAAAACAAAATTCCACGTCACTTCAGTGCGTGTTCTTCAGCTTTAGAAGCAGAAAGAAAAAGTTAGCAGTGCTTTGGTTGGAGTATGAGCCTACTTTAATATATGTGTTTAAAGAATAGAATGTTTGTAGCCTCCGGAAGAGATCACTTATTTTTATCTTGGCAATCGCAGTCATGTTGGATAACCGATTCGAATTTTTGTTTACATTGTTTTTAGACATTTATTTTGGATGCTACTCACTTGTAAAAAATCTTATATATTTCATCATCATCATCAGCATCATTTCAGCCATAGGACGTCCACTGCTGAATATAGGCCTCCTCCAATGCTTTCCAAGTTTCCATGTCGATCGATTTTTATGTTGTCGTCGGTCCACCTACTGGGTGGACGTGTCACGCTCCGTTTTCCGGTACCTACGCGGCCTCCATTCCAGAATCTTGCTGCCCCATCGGCCGTCCAGTTCTGCGTACTATGTGCCCTGCCCATTGCCACTTCAGCTTGCTAATCCGTCGGACTATGTCAGGGACTTTAGTTCGTTTACGGATCTCCTCAAGAAAATATTTAGGTACTTATCTAATAATTTGCCTACTTTAAAAGTTTCTTTACGGGCTGCATCTGAATGAAACTATTTTCCAAGTTGGTGTAGTGAGCCTTCTTAGGGCATAAGCACACATTCAGCTAAAATTGATTGATTTTTTGCATTTTATATTGAATGCGATGATCGCACACAGGCTCACACAGCGGGTTCCAAAATGTGGTCATTTTGTCTTAAAAAAGAAGTCGCTTGAGTACAGTGGCGGATTTACAAATTTGCCGCTAGTAGGCCATTCAATTTTTGCCGCCCCTACCTACTGACTTTTGAAATTCAATACCTACGTTAGTTTAATCCCGTTATTAGTATGATTGTGAACTTAATGATATTTCTGTCAGTTACTAGATTATTATTGCAACCCGCTATGTAATGAAGAGTTTAATGTTGACCTAAAAACAGCAGTATGTACGGACGACGGCACGTCAACGTAACCACTGTGGGTTCTTGTGCAGTTGTAATAGGGGCGAGTTTGCAACAAAAATGGGTAACCTGATGTGCTGTCGTGTGTACTAATCCTAAGGTGGGCAAAGGCATGACTTAAAAATACCTACACTATATGAATACAGACAAAATAATGTGTGGTCAGTAAGCATTGTTTTTGGTAAATATTTTTTATTGGACTTAACAGTTTAAAAACAATACAAACAATTTCTATTATAATATAACATGTTAACAATTCAGTTAATGGTGACAGACAATGAGATCAAATAAGTTTTACATTATTTTCCTGCAAGATTTTAAATTTGCAAAATCATTAATTATATCGACGTATGAAATATTTTTCATAAGTTTTGACTCTATGCATTAATAGGCCAGAAGAATTAGATTTTAAATCGAAAATAATTCCTACAAAAGATTTTATTGCTTTAATGGCTTCATTTTTTTTTTGGAAGAGGGGCAGCCACATTAGGTCACAGAGTCGTTCAGGTGAGTGCCAGGAAGAGGTGCAGCAATCGCAGTTAAGGAACGGCTAGGACGAACAAGGATAGGCGCATCCAACTCGTAAGCCTTGATAGGGTTACACTGGTTGAGGCGCTCCTTTTCAAGACTTGGAAGCCTGCGGGTAACGAGCCATTGGACGTGGAGAGGGTCATTAATTATACACATATTTTCTACTTTGCCGAACATTTGCACGAGAACGGTTTGTTCAAAACATGAATTTGGTCTTATTTAATGCAGGATTAAATGCCCTTTAACCGTCAGGAAGACCACTTTTCGATAGGGTAAGTCCTTTACGCAGTATAACCGGAAAACCGAAAAAGCGCCCCTTTCGGGGGCACCCACCACTTAAGCACAACTCCGTCGAAAACCTAGAAGAGCCTTTATGGGCAACTAATGAAGCCATTAAAACACTAAAATCTTTAGTAGGAATTATTTCCGATTTAATTCATTTTTGTGTTTAATTCTACTGGCCTATAAAGCTTTTCTTGACTTAAAGAAGATGGTAGATAGTTTTTAACCCGTTTTAAGCAAGAAAAGCTTCTCACCTGATGAATGTGCACAGAGCCATGCGAAGTGCTATATCCAGTATAATATAATCCAAGGCTTGGTAATACAGGGTAACAGGCCCAAAATTAAAGAAAACGAAAACTGTACCTACATTTTTATAGAACTTTCACTATTGCAATTTAAAGAAAATTTAATGCAATTGATTTTTAAATTTACTTTTATTAAATTACATCGCCCAGGAGATTTCCTTGACGCTTACAACATTCGAACAACATACATCAAAATCTTGGAATGCGTTCGTCAGAATTACTTTGAAACCTATTTTCAATTTTTTTCCG